AATATATTATTCAGAAAAAGAAAAATACCTAAAAGAAAAAATGGACAAAAATGAAAAAGTAACGAATAAGAGTAAAAATGTAAGTGGCCGTTGGAAAGATGATTAACTTCTACAGTAACTTTCTACAGGAAAGACCAATTGAAGCAACAGGGAGATAACATTTTTAATCCCATTAGGGAGGCAAAAATTTTAACTCTGGGTGCAGCCCCCAGAGTTGGCGAGGTGTAGGGAGATGGCCACTCTCACACACTATTTGTCCAAGGATAAACTGGAAGTTCTACTTTGGGAAGAAATTGAGCAATATCTATTAAACCTAAAATGCACTTACTTTTTAACCCAGCAGCTCTACTTATAGGCTCGCTCTTACAAAAACACCAGCACATATGCTCAAGGAGGATTGTAAAAACATTTTGTTACAATATTCATTGTAATTGCAATAACACATTCAAATATGCTAGAGTCACAGATGGGTAGAGTGGCTATTAATAAAATGAATGAGCTAGATCCATGTGTCTCAAGACAGGGATCTCAAACACATCATGCTGAGTGAGAAAAGCAACTTGAACAATTATGTGGGCAGTGCATTGCTTATATGAAAAGTAACAAAACACACCAAACCATGCTATCCATTTTGATTGGTACATTTACGTAAGTAAAATAGTTTAAAGGTCTGAAAAAGACGGGAGAGAGTAGCCAGGATCAAAGCTGTCTTCTAAAGGGACTTTTACTTTAGCCTAATAGTCTAGAGTTTTACAAGGAAAATGGAGATTTCATTCCTTACGTAATTTTAAAACTATGAAAATGAAAGGAAAAGAGGTTAGACTTTGGAGCCAAGAAGAGCCCACTGTAGCTTCCACTTTCACTCTGAAACATTATTTGATGTCTGAATATCAGTTTCTTCTTTTACTAAATGGGGATACATACACATACGTATTTATAAAATATGCAGATATATTATATAGAGATATAGAGAAAGAATTTTGAGTGAGTTAATATTTGTAACACACAGGGTATTGTGTCCGTTTATACTGGGTCCTCAAAAAAAAAAAAGCCAGTTCCCTTCTCTTGTTATTCAATGAAAACAAAGCATACACAATGGGTGCTTAAAGCTTTTTATGAGGGCGCATCTAATTTGTGGGTTGACAGTCTATATTCAATCTATCTGAGAAACACTTGACCAAGAGGATGGAAGGGAACCCAAGCCCCCAGTGCAAACATGATTCATTACCTGAATATAGCCTTGACTTCTCTTTAAAACCCCTCTGACAGTTTTAAATCACTTGTTGTCCAGTCAAAGGAACTGAAACGCTATTACCCTAATTATCTTGGAAAACAAGAGCAAAGAACCAAAGGTCTTTGACAAAAAAATATTTTTTGCCTCTTTGACAAATATTTCTAGGCGCAGTAAAATTAAATATCCCATTGTAAAAAGATAAAGTGCCCCCAGTTGGGGTATTACTTTCTGAATAATCCTGTGGTTATTCCCAGTTTGAGCACCAAGCCATAACTCACTCTGGGAGGTTCGTTAGAACTGTGAACTGCCAGAGTACAGTTGCATGAAGGACAGAAGGACCTCAGCCTGAACTTGCCCAATTAAACAGATTAACTTTTAGCTGTGAATTCAGGCCAGGGCCATGTATTACTCTTTTACTACAGAATAAACATAAATTTACCCATGCAGTGAAGCCTGCAGCTGCTGAAAGTCCACAATTTTCCCAGTGGAGACGTTGATTTATTTAACTCAGATTGTAAAGTTAAAACGGAATCTAATACATGGAAGGCAGAAAAATGAAGAAAGAAAACATCTGTAACTTAGAGATAAACATTGGGGACTAAATTGATTCTCGGTTATTTGTGAAGTGTTCTGATTTGAGTTAGATGCGAGAACTTGAGGCACATCACTACACAGAGAAATCTGAGGTTTTTATTCCTTAAAAACATCATGGACCAGCGTAAGAGTCACCGTGGTGAGAATATGTCTAGAAAAATATTTGGCCTTACGAACTGTATGTCCAAATGCAATTATTGATGCAAGAAAAAATTTGGTTTAAGTCAACC